CTTCTTACTCACAAATTTTGGCCGAAACTGCCTCAGCATTTCTTACTTTACTCTCCATTACCTTTCTTTTTATGATAACACGTCGTTACATCGAAACACTGGAAACAACTTGTCGTAGGGCGTACGGTATGTCACGAGTTTTGTTACCTGTTTTATTGTTTGGGATCCTCGCAATTTTGGCGACAACAGGTAAGTCAAAATGTTTGTTTGTTTGTTTTTTTTCCCTAAACACTCTTATGCTTAATCAGGAAATAATTTCGTCTTTTAGAAAATATGGTGGGTTATTTGTGATGATATTTCCGGTCAGGTATACAAAGGAGGCTGTGAACCGAAAATTATCAATTGCAAAACCTGCTTTAGATTTCCATAGTAAACGTTTACCAAATTAGTAAACAGGCGGCAAATTTGTTCAGAATTATGGTTTTTCATTGTGACAGACGAGATGTTCATGAATTCAATTGCTTGAATTCAATATGTCATCTGGAGGGTTTTCGTCTTCGCCCATTCGTAAAGAAGAAAAAGAACTAGACAAGCTATTGCTACCAACAAAGCCGTCAGACGTCTGCGCATGTGCGAAGGTTCTCAGTGATAACATGTATGTAGAACTAAGTTGTCTCACAAGAGTTACAAACAGCCACAAAAGTCGATTTCTCCCTCTCCCTATGTTTTATCCTATTAAAGATCTCTGCAGACGTTTCAATTTCTTTCGCTTATTTTGCGACACAGCGAGCGGGGAAATTGGCGCTCAGCCGGCCAGAATTGATCCCCTCGCGTATGCCTTGCCCCATGACATTCAACCACTGTGTTATAGCCACTAAATTGTGGTAGCTTAGTTTCGTGCATCTGTCATGACTGACATGCTACTCACATTATGATTGGGCCAGCCGAAGAAAAGGAGAATAAGTCAAAGAGGTGTTGCAGAAATAAGAGAGGCTGGTAAATCAAGAAACGAGCCCGAAGCATATTTCACTTCCCCTTTCCTCTTTACAAGAATGAACTCGTTCTTCGTTAGTGTGAACATTACTATGCGGTGATAATTTTGATTCTGCGAGTTACTCTCAGGGAAGTAGCGAATCCCTCTCTTGATTTACTTCTTCGTTTCGCTTTCGTTTCTTTTGCGCTTCCCGTAACTTCTTATTGGAATGCTTGAGTCATAGGAGGCCAACATTAAACGACAAAGTAGCTTCAACGGGAGTGTGTTGGAATCCGCAAAGAATGGCTCTGTTTGGAACTCTGTGGCGTGCTGTTGGGGCTAGACTCGGAT